CTCCGGTTGGCCGTCGCGGAGCGCCCGTTCAGCCGCGCCGGTCCTGTCCTCCGACCGGCTCGCGGCATCGCCGGTCCCGATGCCCGCTGGCCCGCCTCCTCATTCGCTCTCTCCTCCTCCTCCTCCCCAGTCGCAGCCCCTTACGCGCCCCGCTTGCTCCCTCTCCATCTATCTCTTCCCGCTCTCTCGCTCTCACACCCTGTCTGTTCGTCCGTCCAACATTCCAACGTACTCTCCCCATCTCCATCTCCATCTCCATCTCTCCCTCTCCCTCTTCCTCGCTTTATGCGTCTTTCTCTCTCCTCTCCACTTATCTTGGCCTGAGCAGATTTGCCCTTCGGCAGCATTGGCAATCGATATCAGGTCTGACCAATCGTCGGTTGCGATGACATTTTGTCGATGGCTGATTGAATCTGAGCCGAGGAGAACGGTTGGAGTTGGCTGGAGGCCATTTCACCCATCGCGCTCGCCACTAGGCAGCATCGTCCTCGTCACCTTCGAGTCTCATCTGCCGACCCCTCCGCAGGTGTGCCTCGGCCCCGTTGAGCAAACTCCGCGCCGGCCCGCCTGGACTAATAGGCCCGTCCACTCTGCCCCCAGCCCGACTGACTGGGCCCCTCGAGTCTCGTCCTCTCTTTGCCTACATTTGCTCGCTTTCGCCACTTTCTCCGCCTCCTCCACCTACTCTGCTCCCCCCCTCTGCTCATCCTCCCATCACCTCGGCCGTCACCAGTCGCTCTCTCGTCGGTACGGTTAATCCGTCCTGTCATCTCGTGATCCTTGGTGCATGCGATTATCCGAGGCGACATTGACGTCCATTGCGCCCGGCTTCCCAACTGTCCGGGATCAGTTTGTCAGCTCTTCCTCCACCAACTGGATAATAGCCCAAGATCGAAATCAAGATGAATGAGTAAGTGCTGCTTGCCTTTCCTCCTTGAGCGCATCCACTTTTCGCGTCGAGTCATCCCGTCCTGCAAGCGGACACTTTTGCGCTTTCGCCCATCTAGCCTCTTCACCCACATACATGTCTGTCTGTCTGTCTGTCTGTATTTGTGTGTGTGTGTGTGTGTGTGTGTGTGTGTGTGTGTGTGTGTGTGTGTATGTGTATGT